ATTTTTAGTAGAGACGGGGTTTCACCATGTTGACCAGGATGGTCTCGATCTCTTGACCTTGTGATCCACCCGCCTCGGCCTCCCAAAGTGCTGGGATTACAGGCGTGAGCCACCGCGCCTGGCCTTAAGTGTTTATTTCTTTTAGACTCAGAGACAGAATGTAATTAACAAAATGGATTTCCATGTCCTGGCAGGGATAGTGTGTCAGATGACAATGCTTCATTATTTCCTCCCACCTGTTCCAGGAATAAGCTCCCGGAAGAGTGAAAACATTTAGTACTTATCCATATTTACTTGGGAAGAATTGTGTGCTAATTCTATATGCTAAAAACTGCTTTTTGTGTTTCTGTTTGTAGGTTATTTATTCGAAAATTTAATCCAAGGTTGATTTACACCTCTCATTATTTAGCCTGTTGCCTGCGTCCTCTAATTAATTGTAAAATCACAAGTAAAACCTGCTACAGAACATAGTATGCATGGCTTTTGCCTTTGCTATTTGGTCCTGTACAATCTTATTTCTCTTCTTTCATTATACAGATAATTGAGACTTGTTATGGGCAAAATCATCAAAAATTGAGAAGAGTGGTGTGGAGAAGCCAGAATCTTTTGGGGTTTGAAAGGTTGAAATAAAATTTACGTAAAAATAGCACAGAGCCTAGCAGGCACTCACTAAAAGATAGAGTTATTTATACATAAAATTGCAAAGAAGGAGCAGTAGAGAAGTAATTATGGTCCTACTTGCTCAACAAAGAACAAACTTCAGATTCTTTACTGTTAAGAGCTCTTGGCTAAAGAGGGATAATTAGTTAACAAAATGGTTCAGAATTTACAAGGTTTAGAGCATTCTGGCAGCATTGTTTTCCTAGGATTCATTCTCAGCAAAAATTCTTTTATGTTCTGCAAGTTTTTAACAAGGTAAAAAGCCCTTACTTAAGTAACTTTAGCAAAACCATACTAAAGAAATAGTTTATGAATTTGTGAATTATTTTTAGAGAAGAAAAGCTACTCTAGTTTACTGTTTGGCCATGCAGAGATAGGAAACATTTACTCAGACTGAATCCCCAGATGTAAAATGTATGACCATTTGAGGCCATTGCTCTAGAGAGTGGCTCCCGGTGTTTCAGAGAACTTTGATTTCCAGGATGATAGTAGTTGCACTTTCAGTTGGTTGAAGAAGTACAAAGGTGCGCATGATTTTGAGGATCTTTACACTAACTGCTTTATCCCTCTCCCACCAGCAGGCAGCCCACTAAATGGGGACTGCTCTGCAAGTGATTTCTTAATAATTTTCAAAGTAACCCTGCCAAAATAGATTGCTGTGACTTAAAGTATTAATTCTTTTTTCTCATATTAGTGGCTATGGTAGTAGGAGATGCTACAGATCAGTAAATTAGGATTTTGGGGGAAACCAAGTATCCTGAGTTGTCAATGTGACTCTTCTGTTCTGAAAATTCCTAGGGCTGAAGCAGATCATTCCCTGTTCTTGTCAAGAAGTCAGCATGCACACTATTCTAGAAAGATCATTGCCTACTTTCTGTCTTCAAATTCTTTCATAATCTTCCTCGTGGTCCCTTTGCTGTGCCTCTGGAGATGTGGGTGTGTGATTTAGGAGGGATGACCTACTTTTGTTGCTTCCCCAACAGTTCGGCTCCTCTGGCATGGGTCTGGCTCTGTGCACAAGCTAGGTAGTGCAAGACGTCAGTTTGTCTTGTGTTTGCAATTCATTTCACAGTCGGTGAGCAGGGCAGCCTAGCATGCAAGCCTCCTCTGGGTTTGCATCTACAGGAGGTTCCCTTCTTATCTGAGAGAGCTGCACCAAGAGCTCCATTTGGTTAGCACAGAAAGAAAGTCAAGGAGCTCCAGGCTGATGAGGTATTTGAGTCTCGATTTCCCTCCCCTCAGAGGGAGATCCAGTCCCTGTCAAATCACCAGGAGGTGGAGATTAGCAGTCCCAGCTCAGTGGCTGTGACAGAGGTATCTAGGAATAATATAGTCAGGGCTGAGGTGAGTTGAGGGCCACAAACTTTAATAGGTTATGCAACTATTACTACTACTTCCATGGGGGCCAGCCTTACCTGCTGAGTCAGATTAGGTTGTCCATAATATGATTTCAACACACCATTCCAACACTATCCTTTGGCTCAAATTATGTTATTTTTTCCCCTCTCGACACATCCCATGTTTTCCTGTACAGTGGCCTTTGTTTTCTCTCATAACTCTATCACTGTCTGTCACAATTCTGCCCCTCACCTGAATCCCATCTCAAATACTATCTCCTTTAATAAAGCTTTCACTGATCACCCTAACTAGAAATGGCATGTTGAATCTCTAAATATCTCCTATGGCTCATTTTACATTAAACTTATGTTACAGTTACTTATTCACATTTCTCCTAAATTGATTGCAACTCTTTTAAAGCAGAGACTTTGTCTTATCCTTATAACTACTGGAGCTCAGCAGGTGCATAGAAGCCTGTG